ATCAAAGGTTTCTTAAGCAGTTTTTAATCCATCCATACTAGTCATTTTGGTATTGTTGGCCACTAGAAAAGCATAAGGTGTAGCATCAGGAAATGTCTGAAATGTCTCACTTCTGTAGATTCCATTCAGTGTACTTAAACTTAGATAAAGTTGACATCAAAATTCCTAAGGATAGGCAAAAATTCACATTTTTAAAAAACTCCTTACGTTTCTATTTAGTGTAGCAGTAGGCAATATGGTTCCAGAAGCTAAAAAGTATTTCACAATCTATGATTTCCTCTTGGCAAATAATCTCAGTTCTGAACTGACTTATCCCTAATAAAATTCAAGCCCTTAAAAAAAGAATGTGTCTATATACATAGACAGTATTTTAAAGGAGTCGGATAATCTTTGAAGCAACCTTAGTATTTCCTTTACATTGACCTGGAAAGGACCACTGTATTAGCTTTGTGGGATGGATGGTCAGGCTTTTTGGTCTAAGGCTAACATGGTGATCATTTGTCTAAGGTTAGAAAGGTGCCAACATGATGTAAGCCACAAGGAGAGGAGGAGGATATGAAGTCCTTTCCTGGTAGCTGGTAGCTAAAATTGAAGAGATTCTTAGAGAATACCACAAGGGCAGCCTTTCTTGTGATATTCTTGCTCCTGAAATTTCCTTATAACCTGAACAAGTTCATGGAAAGCTTGATCTCCATTTATCCTAATCTTTGCAGACGCCTCCATGTATGTTATGTTAAGTTGCTCTGCTAACTGCTGTCCTTCCTCCCGTGTCACCTGCCTTTGATGATCCAGGTCTACTTTGTTACCAGTTAAAATCATTGGAAATTCATCATGATCCTTTACTCTGAGAATCTGTCTTTGAAATTTATAGATTTCTTCAAAACTGCCTCTGTCTGTGACTGAAAAGATGGACAAGAAGCCTTCACCAGTCCACATGTACTGTTATATCATGGCTCCAAACTCTTCTTGTCCAGCTGTGTCCCAAATATCTGGCTGACTGCTCGGTCATCTATCATACACTGCTTAGTGTAGGACTCCTCAATGGTTGGATGGCAATTTTTTTTTAAAATTATTTATTTATTTTATTTTATTTTATTTTATTGAGAAACAAATATCAATGAGACACTTTCCAAGCTGATTAATAGGACATTTTCAATAATTCATACATTGCATATTGTTATCTTCTCAATCTGTTACAAAATAGGACTGGATGAACTGGATGGCGAGCGCCTACTTGCCCCAGCCGACCCCTGCCGACCACCCGCTGCTGGTGCTTCTCTTCAGAGCCGCCCAGCCAGCCAGCAGCAGCCATGGGGAAGCCACGACCCAGCCCTGGGACGTGTACTACCAGTGGGCTGTGGGCAAGCATCCGGGCGAGGGTCGCGGGGGCTGCGGGCAGTGAAGAAGGCCCAGACACAGAGCAGCGTGGGTGCTGAGACAGGCTGGGGGCCGCCCTAGGCATGGAGGTGCGGGGCACGCGGGGCACCGGGGGCTGGGGCAACAGCTGTGGGGCGTGCTCCTTTATGCTTCTCCGCAGCACCTAGAATTTATTTTTAATTCTTTTTCATTTTAAAGGAAAAACCCTCACAGGATTAAAAACAGGATAATAGGAGATTAACAATGGGTAATATATTGCATATTATCTTCTTCAAAGTAGTTTCTTAAATTACAAAGTATAAGCGTGCATAATTGATCAAACGCTATAAACACAAATCATTTTATTCAATGAACTAAAAGGAGTCAGTAATATAATTATCTTATTTATCTTTTATATATGTTTTTTCTTTTTCCTTCCTTCTTTTCTTTTAGCCATCCCAGTTGTTCTTTCCTTGTGAACAGCTGTATACTGTGGTTCTACATACCTTTGTTGCAAAACACAATGTTTCTCCAAATGTCTGTGCTCTTTGCTTGATCAAAATACGGGTAATATCATCCATCTCCACAAATGAGTTGCATCAGCCAAAGAAAGTCTAGAACTTATATAGGTACTATAAATCCTTTATTTCACATAAAGCATTATATCTTTATAGAAATAGCAAGTTTATTGTTGGGAAAAATTATGAACAGACACCAGGATGTGAAATGTTGCAAAGTTCTCAAGCACATCTCAGGTCCATTCAGAATAGTGCAACTTTCCTTTTATGAATAATTTATTGTTTCCATTCCTTTGAAGATCTTTGTGAAATTAAGTGCAATAGCTATTGTTAAAGGTAATACAAGGATCACATGTCCATAATATGGACAACAAACAAGAACTGTGCTATTTGGTCTCTATTTCTCTGGGACATTCCTAAGCAGAAAGAAAATGCTGATAGGAAAGCAACGTCAGTGGAAGCCAGTGATTATGCCCACTTCTTGTGTGAACCAGGAAGAGTCTATTCAGTGTTCAACAATGATTTTTATTGTTAACTTCTGCCATATGCCGGAAATGAGATAGGGTCTGAGGACTCAGAAATGAGAGAAAATCATCTAATTTCTTCAAATATCTGCATATAGTTAAACAGAGACAATAACTAAATGTCCCATTATGGAAACATTAAAACAACAATTTCAGATTCCAGGTATTTTATTAGAAAGTAAAGAAGTTTTAGAAATAACCTGTTGTATGTTGTAGAAACAAAGCAATGGAGACAGGATTAAAAATGAAACTGTCAATTCATGGCTTTTAAACACTGACATTTTACTTTCCCCCTAAACATCAGAATGTGTCTATCAGTTTCAGAGTTCTAAAGTACACTTTGTCTGAGGAAGTTTTTAAACTCTTTCCAGTTTCCTGAGAAATAATAAAATCAAATGAGTTATGAAATTCCTAAGTTAAAAATCCCTGAGTTAAATTCTCCTATTCAGATTGAGAATAATGAATAAAAGATTTTAGGAGGTTGCAGATAGCGTCCAGAAAAGCCTAGAGTGCAGAAAATGAATGATACCAGTACCAACCAGTGTGGATCTTTTCTATCTTTGATCTTTGCCTCTGACTTCAGAAATCCTTCCTTCAGTGGATGCAGCCAGTATTGCCCCTCCTCTCTTCTGGGATCTACTTGGAGCCCCAAAGAGTAGAACACAGTGAGAAATGATACTTTTCCTAGAGAGGTAGAAAAGAAAAACGGTTGCTTGGGCTGTGAAAAGACTCATGCACTGGATTCACCTGACAAGATGCCCTGTGTGGGTCATGACAGCCTTGTGTATTCACATCTTGTTTTCTGCCCAAGAACTGTAGTTGATTGCTCAAAAATGCTATGCTCTCTTTTTCTTTTGATATAATGATAAGAAGTTTACTTTAGAAATATTGTACAGATAAAATGAAACAATTTATCTGAGCACAACTCAGATGCTACTATTTACAAGTCCTTCAATGTTGGTTCACAATGCTGTGACCATATTCATCATTCTAAATATAGTCTTTTTAAAAATTTTTATTTTTATTCATTTTAATGAGAAAAAATAAAATAGCAGTGAAATGGCTTCAAAACAGGTTAGTAGGATAGCTACAATAATTAATACATAGCATATTATTGTCTTTATATTAGTTATTCAGAGGACGAGTTGAAGACACGATATTTGTCTAAACAATATTAGCACAAACATTTCTTCTCAATGAATTAAGAGGCCTTAATTTTTTTGAAGTGCTCAGTAGAATGTCCAGATACCCAAAATGTACTATCATGGAGTAGATGTCTACAGGAAATTGGACTGGGGTGAGATTAAAGGAAAATTGTGACTTTTGGCTCAAGTATAAATTTTAGAGTACACAGCTAAAACTGTGGACAATCCTGTCATCCCATTTCACTACTCAAGCTTCATGTGTGAGTTTATGACAGAAAACAATTGTTACAGTAGTCCTTTGCCCATCCATTGTCCCTATTGCCACTTTCAGAAAAGGGCTGTGTCTCTACTGCCTTATCTCCAAAACTACAATGCTCACACTTTTTACCTGGCTGAAGACAAGTGAAAGATCTAGGTTAACCAAGAGAACTGACAGTGACAGATATGGGATTTACATTTAAGATACCATGAAGAAGGAGACACAGAGTTGTTGCCAACTGTACTAGAATAATCAAAATTAAAGTCTAGAATTGCTTGAGCACGTAGTATTATATGACCTTGATAGCTTAATGTATACAGTTAATAAATACTCAAACTTTCTTTTTTTTAAGTGAGATTCTTTTTTTTAAAATATTAATTTATTAATTTATTTATTTTGTGTCTGTGTGTGGCCAGCTCAGCCCACCAGGGGCAGGGCTGGCTGGCATGTGGTGCTGGGGGATTGAACCGTGGTCCCTGTGCTTAGCTTAGCTTAGCTTGTTCTAAGTAGGTGCTTTAGACACTGAGCCATCTCAGAAGCCCCTCAAACTTTCCATGTTAGCCAAATTTTAAGGACTTTTGAAATTTAATGGAATTTGATTAAAAATGACAAAATTAATCTTCACAAAGGGAATTAAGCTCACCTCTGCTCAGGAGAAATCTCAAGTGTACTCCTCACTTTGTTAATTTCTTTCCTCTTATAAAATATCCTGAGCTTGCTATGGTACTGAACACTTATGATCCCAGCACTCAGGAGTAGGAAGGGAATCCACTTGAACTAAAGGCCAGGTTGGGCTACCCAGTGAGTTCAAAGCTAACTTGAAAATCATAGCAAGACACTGTCTCAAAAAGTTCTGCACTTTTATTTTCATTGTTCATACCCATAAATAAATGTGCAATTATAGTCAGGTTTAAATATTATTTGATAACATTAATCACATTATCATTTGTGTACAAGCAAAAAAAGTTAACCATGTTTCATCTCTTCAACCAAAACTTTTCAGCTATTTGAACTTTTCAGCTAAATTCAAGGAATCCCCAATCAACCGTGAATCTAATGTGAATCAAAATAGAAATTGAAGAAGTTAGTCTTCTGAGATCTTATGACCAATAAGATAGTGTTTATAGGTGAATTTGTGACATACAGTTTTACTATGTTTTCAAAGCTCTATCTCAAATGGTTGCTAAACAACCTGAGATTAGACTCTCCAACTGTGGAGCCCCTTCAGTGTGTTACTGATGTCCCTGTTCCTCAGGCTGTAGATGAAGGGATTTAGCATAGGGGTGACCAAAATGTGAATCAATGAGGCCACCATGCTCTGGCTGGGATTATATGACACAGCTGAACCAAGGTATACTCCAATACCATTTCCATAAAATAAGCAAACAACTGACAGATGAGAAGTACAGGTAGAGAAGGCTTTGTATCTTCCACCTAATGAAGATATTTTTAGAATGGAGGAAACAATTTTATAGTAAGAGCAAAGGATCCCTAAAATTGGAAAAAAGCCTAATATGGCACCAACAAAATATGTGACCAGGGTTTTGATCAAGGCATCAGAACATGACAGGTTAAGGAGTTGAGTAGGATGGCAGAAGAAATTACCAATTTCCACATCCTTGAAGCAAGGAAATTCCAAAGCAATTACGTTGTACGTCAATGAGTCCAAAAGGCTTATAAAGACACACAAAAAAATTAGTAAGACACAGAGGTGAGGATTCATTATGACTTTGTACCGCAATGGGTGGCAGATGGCCACAAAGCGGTCATAAGCCATCACAGTCAGAAGCTTGTCATCCATACATCCAAAAATGATGAAAAAAGACATCTGTGTGAGGCAACTCACATAGGAGATGACCCTCTTGTGATTCAGGATGTCTGCAATCATCTTTGGCATCATGGTAGTGGCAAAACAGATGTCAACAATGGAGAGGTTGGAGAGGAAGAAGTACATGGGGGTGTGGAGGTGGGAGTCAGAGCTGACAGCCAGGATGATGAGTAGGTTCCCAACCACAGTGACCAGGCACATGGACAGGAAGAGTCCAAAGAGAATGGGCTGAAGTTCTGGATCATCTGAGAAACCAAGGAGATGGAATTCTGAGACGTAGGTTAGATTATGTGTTTCCATAGTGCTTGATTACTTTTCTAAAAATTCATTAGAAAAATGGAATGAATAAGTAGCATACAAGACTCTACATGTTATAAATTCAAGTATTCACAAGCAAAATATTCCCACATGAAATTTTTAAACCTTAAAGATATTCATCCATGTGATAAACCACATGGGCACTCTGTTACAAATACTCTAGGGGCAAGTTTAGAACATTCAAGTGTAGAATGCTACTATGCCAGTAAAATATACCAACTAAAAGCTGGAATAGAGAATCCTGATTTATTGTGTACAGGAACAAATTCCCTATGAGGCATGAACTTACTATGTATATCAAAATTGTACCAATGAACTTAAATATATAAATAAGGGCATATGTGAGAGGCCTTCCGCCACACCCGCCAGATCGCCTCCAGCCCCAGCCCAGGTCCAGCATATGTGAGAGAACTTCTGCCATGCCCATCGGACAGTTAAAGCCCCATCCCAGGAGAAGCATGTGTGTGAGACCTTCCCCTTGTGCTCTCTGGACACCTCCAGCCTAAGACCTTGGTCAGCATGTATGTGTGGGACTGTCCACACACTCATGGAAACCGCCTCCACCAGATGGGCATAGTGTGAAACTCTGTGGCTGAAGTCCCTGGAGAGAGGCTAAGGGCCAGAACCACCCAGCTAATCCAGAAGCAAAACATCTTGCCAGAGGGGCACAGCAGGTTCACTTCCATGGGCTGCAGCAGGAAGAGGCTGATCACAGCAGCCAGACACAAGTCAGGCACATTGGGATGAATTCAAACTTGGTAGATCTGGACCATTAAGCTGAGACACTGCAAGACCCAGATCTATGACAGCATACTCTTTCTTTCTCTCTTGATCTAGAGAGGGGTCAACAGGTAACTGGGGATAACTAGTCTGCCTGGAAGACCCCAGGTACATTAATGGGAGGTGATCAGACAGAATTAAGAGGAACTAACTTAAACAGAAATTCCAAATTTAAGATCTGCTTAGCTACAGGGACATAATGTTCGTTCTTACTGTCTGAAATACAAACCCATCAGTTACAAAAGTTTGTCAACTGTTGTGTATCACTATCCATTATTAGTGTTCCTAATTGTAGTTCTCTAAATACAAAACTATAGCAGCCTTAACCATATAATCTCTTTGGGTAAAAATTTCTGAAGTTGCTAAGGTTATAACTTCACCAAAGCTCTAAACCAAAGGTCAGAGGACAGTGCTATACAAAATGACAAAGAGAATGAACTATATGTATTCTCAGGTCCTGAGCCCACCCAGAACAAATGCAGGAGACATGAGCATAGAAGAAATTGGAAATCACAAACCTGAAATCTCTGAATTAAGAGCATTTGAAGTATAGAAAAAACTACAGAAAGGTATAAAAGAAATTAGATGAGAAATAACCTCTGAAGTAAAAGAAATGATAACCATAATGAAAGAATTACTAAGTGTTTCTAAAGAAGATGCTGATAAAAATATAGGAGCATAGAAAAATGATGGAATCCTTCAATGAGCAATATAGGAAAGGAATATAATACATGGAGCAGATTCAAAGAGTTATGCAGGAAATTAAAAAATCAATCACAAGTTGGCAAAACTGTTTGAATGAAAGTGAAGATAGAGTTTCAGATCTTGAAGACAACATCGCAGCTAGTGAAAAGGTAAGAAAAGATCTCTTAAAAACAAGGAGGAAGCAGGAAAAAGTAATTCAACATCTGGAAGACGATGCAAAGATGAACAACATGAGACTAATAGGCATCAATGAGAAAGAAGGAATCAATACAAATGATTTAAAAAGAATATGGGCAGAAGTAATAGCAGAAAACTTCCCAAATATTGGGAAACAATCTGAAATTCAGGTAACTGATACATACAGAACTCCAAATAACATCAACCCAATTAAAAATACCCCAGACATACAATAGTCAAGATCCCAGAAATCCAGTATAAGCACAATATACTAAAAGCCACTAGAGAAAAGAAACAGATCATATTTAAAGGAAAACCCATCAGAATAATGGGAGATTTTTAGTCACAAACAATCAAGTCAAGAAGAGCTTGGAATAGGGTACTTCAAGTCCTCCATGAAAACAAGTTTCAGCCCATGGAACTGTCTTTTAAGTTTGATGAAGAAGTGAAATAGTTCCATGACAAAGAACAAGTAAAGAATTTCACGGTGACAAAGCCAACCCTACATAGTCTACTAAAAGATATGCTAGAGAGGGACAAATCTGACCAGTACTTTACTAATGAGAACAGAAAGAACCCATCAAATAGGGCAAACAAACACAGGAGAAAAGGGGGTAAACAACAGCAGGGAAATAACATGTTAATCATAAGTCAATAATCTCAATTGTAACCATCAATGTAAATGGACTCAATTCACCAATTGAAAAAACAGACTGGCACAGTGGGATTAGGAAACAAAATCCAACAATATGCTGTATACAAGAAACACATTTAGCTCATAAAGACATTCATAGGCTGAAAGTTAAAGGATGGAAAACAATACTACATGACCCAGTACCTCAGAAAAAATCAGGAGTAGCAATCCTGTTTGCAGACAGTCGCAACTTCAAACCAAGAATGATCAAATGAAATAAAGAAGGCCGTAAATACTGGTTCAGGGAAAATACAAGAGGAAGAGGTAATAGTCATAAATATGTACACACCAAAAAGGGAGCACCTTGTTATATAAGAGAAATCAAATGGACATGAAAAGTGTAATACACAATACCACAATCTTAACAGGAGAACTTAACACACCCTTATCCGAAAAAGATAGGTCAAGAAGACAATTAGCAAAGAATTAGCAGAACTCAACCAGAACTTAGAACAAATGGACTTAATGGACATATACAGAGTGTTCCGCCCAAATGCAACTTAATGCACATTTTTTATGCAAGAAAATGGGAATTATTCCATGTTTTTTATCTGACAACAGTGCGATGAAACTGGAAACAAATAGCAAAAGAAACCAGAAAAAGCGCATAAATACATGGAAATTAAACTACACTTTACTCAGCAACCAATGGGCCACAGAAATTAAACAAGAAATTGAACAATATCTACAATACAAAAAATTCAAACACAACTTATCAAAATTTGTGGAATACAATGAAATCATATCGTATAGAAAAATTTATAGTGGTGAACTTTCACATTAGGAAAACAGAACAAGAACAAATCAAATATGTATCCTAATGCTACACCTCAAGCTTCTAGAAAAAGAAGAGCAACTAAAACACAAAACCCCCCAAAAGGTGGAATTTGTAAAGATCAGTGCAGACATTAATACAATTGAGACAAAGAAAACTATACAAAGAATTAATGAATCAAAAAATTGATTCTTAAAAAAAAATTGATTCTTTGAGTGGCGAAATAAAATGGATAAACTCCTAGTCAACACACAAGAAAAGGAAAGAAAAAAGTGAAATTAGAGCAAAAAGGAGTAAAAACGGTGAAATAACTACAGATCCTGTGGAAATTCAGAAGATCATCAATATCTACTTCAAAAATCTTTACTCTCATAAGTTGGAAAACAAGAATTGGACAGATTCCTAGATACGTATGAATTACAAAAACCTGAATTAAGAAGATATTGAAATAAGATAACCCAATATTTGTTAATAAAATTGATAATGTAATAAAAAAGCTACCAGCTGAGAAAAGCCTCCATCCTGATGGGTCTATAGTTGAACTCTACAAGGAATTTAGAAAAGGTTTAATCCCAATATTTCTTAAAAACTTCAGTGAAATTGAAAAGAAAGCAACTCATTTCTGTAGACAGTATTACACTGATAGCAAAACCACAGACAGATTCAACCAGAAAAGAGAAATATAGGTCAATCTCCCTAATGAGTATAAATACAAAAATACTAAATAAAATGTTAATAAATAGAATGCAACACGTCATCAGGAAGATTATACAGGATGAGAAGGTGGGATTCCTCCCAGGCTGCAGAGTGGTTCAACATAAGCAAATCTACAAATGTAGTGCACCACAGCAATGGAACACAAAACAAAAACACATGATCATCTTAACAGATTTAGAAAAGCTTTTGATAAAGTCCAATACTCATTCATGATAAAAAAGTACAGAAAATTGGAATAGATGGCTTATACCTCAATTGGCTAGAAGCTTTCTATGATAAACCAACAGCCAATATCTAACTAACTAGACAAAAACTGAAAGCTTTCACTCTAAAATCAGGTACACTTTCTCTACTCCTACTCACTATAGTTCTGGAAACTTTAGCCAGAGCAATTAGACAAGAGAGAGCAATAAAAGTATAAAAATTGGAAAGAAGTTAAATTATCCTTATTCACAGATGAAATTTTACTCTACATGGAAGGCACACAAACTATAACAAGAGCCTCCAAGAGTTAGTAGCAAATTCAGAATAGCAGGATACAAAGTAAACACCCCAAAATCAATATCATTCCTGTACACATACAAAAATTCACTGAGCGAGAAATTAGATAACCCCCCCCTTTGCAACAGCATCCAAAAATGAAATACTTAGGAGTTACTCTAGCAAAGGAAGTAAAAGATATACACAATGAAAATTCAAATACTGTGAAAAAAGAGATTGAAGAGAATCTCAGAAATTTAGAAGCTATTTCTTGGTCTTGCATACTATGTCCAGACTGTGTGTGAATCTTTCCTCACCTCTGGGTTCATATTACTTATGGAAAATAAGGAGAATGTCATCCATCTTGACATCCATAGCAGCTAAAAATGCTTGAAAATGAAGCATGTAGTCATTGTTAATTTTTGGTTTTAAGATAAGGAGTACCTTCCTTATCCAAGGAGAAAGCTATTTATAGGTAGAGTTAACTGTATCAAAATGGTTCTAGAACATGGAACAATATGGAGCTCTGTAATGAATTTCTTCTGGAGGGAAACATTTATCTGATCTTTTTTCTTTGTGACTTTAAAAAAATCATACGCATTTCTGCTGTATTTTTGAATCATGAATGGAGGTGCAAATAAATGGTTTTTTGTGTCCATGTGTCAATCACATAGACTCACATAAGGGCTT